AACGTCCTTTCCCTATGGCGGCAGAAAAAGGACTGAGGGAAGAGTGCCTCCCCCTCCCCTCATCATGTGACCGCTAAGGCGAGAAGATTAAAAAGAGAGAGAGAGAGGAGCTCGACTCTCCTCTGCGAGGGGAGGGGGAGCACTCAATTTTATGATTAATAGAGACTCTGGAAATCGTATCCCGCGGCAGGCCTGCCTTTAGGCAGTCCCATGTGTGCCTGCACAGAAGACACGAAAATGAACATTGGGATCTGGACTTCACCAATAGATCGTATGATATTAAAAGGATAGTTTTGCGTCTTTGGCATATGCTTAACAATGTACCCTTGTGTCAAAATCTTCCGACCATAGGCTTTCGAAAGACCAGTAGCATAAGGAATAAGATCATTAGAGCCGATTTACATCAGAGTAGTCAACAGGATACACTCCCCAGGGGCCATTTTAGGTGTAAGAAATGCGCTGCATGCCCACAGATGTGGGAAACAGATGTATTGGACTCTCCGGAGGTGAACTACAGAAAGGACATCACACATTTTTCGACCTGCGCCACGAAAGGGATAGTTTACCTTTTAATATGTGGCTGTGGTTTAAAATATGTAGGTCAGTCCTCTCGAGCACTTAGAACCCAGGTGCTTGAGCATAAATCAAGACCTAGAGTACAGTTTTGGAAGTCATTCGCTCTAAACCCTACGAAGTCTGTGACACACGTAAAATACTACTTCAAAGGGAAGCCTATTGGTGCTTCAAATTGGATACGATTCAACCAGTGGGATTGAATGCAGCCCTGGAATTGTCATGTTTTTTATAACAACTTAGAGTGAGAATTTTTGACTGTAGGTTTAGGGACGTACATTAGGTTGCGTGGATAAGTATGGTTTTGTTCTTCTGTCTGTTTGTCTGGGGGTTCTGGTATGAACAATGAGAGGAGTGTGTTGGAAACAACAAACATAGTAAGTTGGCAACATCTTTTAGGTAGCAGGTGAGACATCGATTAGGATATAAGATCAAGCAATGAGAGCTATTGCTAAGGCTTATCAGCCCGATTTGATACATAGGCTATGTGCCAGTTATAAGCTATTCCAAAGTTGCTGGGGTAAGGATTTTTTACATATGTATCTTGTATAGCACTTATGTATGGATATAGAATAATGAAATTAAGATATTTAATATAATCAAATATGTTTTATTCATAGAATTAGAGATATCCTTTTGGAAGGTGAATGAATAAGTGGAAGCAGAACTGTATGTATGTTTCTAAATTTGTGATGGTTTATGTATTAAGGCAGGGATGGTTTCCTGTTATGAGTAATGTTTATGTTCCTTGTCAGGATATTTGTATGAAAAAGAAATATCAAAACAAAACGGTTACTCCGGGGAAGTTCGTTTTCATCTGCATGACGTCTTGTATGTTCTTCTCATGACGTCTAGATTGGAAAAAGAATAAGATTAAACATCATGGAGTGATCATACTTGTAGAGTATGTTGCAGATATCCAGAGTCTAGATCAGGGGTGTCAGACATGCGGCCCGTAGGCCGGATCAGGCCCCCAGAGGGCTTCTGTCAGGCCTGGAATAGAACTGGCTGTCTCCTGCTTTTTCTTCCAGTTCTGCTGCTGCTGTTGTTGCTACTGTGTCCTAGCTTGCTTTGCCAGACTCTCTCAATCGCTCAGGAGAGATAGATAGGCAAGCTTCTGTTCCCTGCTCTGGCTGAGGCTCCTCCCCCTCCTCCCAGGTGGAGGGAAGGAATGAGCCAAAGCTTGCTTCCTGGCCAGGCTGCCTCAATCACACAGGAGAGAAAAGCAAGCCTTTCTTCCCCTCCACTGGCTAAGGCTTCTCCCCAAAGGGGAGGAGGGAGAGCTTGCTTTGCTTGGCTGCCTCAATCACACTGGAGAAATACAAACAACCTTTAAGACCAACAAAGTTTTATCCAAGGTTTGTGTGCCTTGCTACAGTGTGTGTGTTTTGTTGGGCTTGTTATGCTGTGGCTCTCCTGGGTGTAACTGGGTTCCCTCCCCCTTTTCACTGTATTCATGCCTTCATGATCCAGTCTTTCTCAGTAGGAAAGCCATGTGAATTATTTAGATGAGGAATAACAACAAACTAGTGAGGCGGATTAGACTGAGAGTCTGTGTCCAGACCAAGTTCACCCAGCACATTTCCTTTAGGGATTTTGAATTTAGACTTCTCAGATAGTAGGTCCACTGAGGAAGACTGGTTTTGTAGACAAACACATAGCTCTCAGTCTATGTCATGGTGCCTTCTCATGTTCTTGACCAGCACACAAAGCAACTTATGACAAAAACTTGCAATGCCTAGCCATTTCATGTTTTCCCCTGGGTCCTAGGCTCAGAACTCTGAGCATGAGATTTCTGTAGTGAATGTCAATCAAAAGTAGGTTTGTGGCTTACAGACACGCACTTCAACAGCATACTCAAGATTGCAACAGCACAGACATTTTGATGCCATAATTCAGAGCAAGAGGTGTCAGTTATCAGATACTGTTAAATAAACAAAATACTGCAGGAGTGCTAATTTTTAAGCATGTTTTTATTTTAAGTAAAAAAAAATCTTTAATTGTGTTTGTATTCTTTATAAAGTTTATATCTCCGCTACCTGGCATCACATTTTATGACGCACATGGCCTGGCCCAATAAGGTCTCATTTATGTCAGATCTGGCCCTCATAACAAATCAGTTCAACACCCCTGTCTAGATATACGCTTTCGTATGAGGTCAAATGTTTGGTTAGATTCCACCCCCTCCTTTTTTTGCATATGTAATAACACACACCAGTTTTGTGGAATGTTATCAAATCAACCTTGTGGGAGGTGTATCTCTTCAGAGCACTTAAGAATGCTTCCCTGGATTAGAGATTTCTGGAAAAACTCATGGGACTATTTTTATCCTAATGTACCCAGAACATTACTTTTTCTGGGATAAAGAAAAATCCCAATGGCAAGTTAGTACTTTTTGTGAGGTTGCTTCATGTTTCAGAAGGTTTGTTTTGTTTACAGAAAGAAAACTGTAAGTGTCTATAGTTTGGGAACATTGTTTCATAGTGTCTCAAAAGGAAAACGTTTTACAGTCACTTCTGTCTGCCTTCTGCCAAACAAGTTACATCCAGGAAGGAACTTCACCTCAGAAAATTGTCAGCTCAAGAGACTCAAACAATGCTCCCTCTAAGCCAGGGGTGTGAAACATGTCGCCCAGGGGCCGGATGAGGCACCTGGGAGGGCTTCCATCAGGCCCACAGTGGAACTGGCCATCTCCTGCTTCCAGTTCTGCTGCTGCTGCTGCATCATAGCTTGCTTTGCCAGACTCTCTTAATCACTCAGCCATTTCATGTTTTAACCTGAGTCCTAGACTCAGAACTCTGAGCATGAGATTTCTGTGATGAATGTCAATAAATCAAAAGTAGGTTTGAAGCTTACAGAGCTAATGTTTTAAGCATGTTTTTATTTTAAGTAAAAAAAACCCCTTTGTGTTTGTGTCCTTTATAAAGTTTATATCTCCGCTACCTGGCATTACATTTTATGACACACAGGGCCCAGCCCAACAAGGTCCCATTTATGTCAGATCCGGCCCTCATAACAAATGAGTTCGACACCCCTGCTCTAAGCTGTGGAATTCTGTGAGCAAAAATTCTACTTTGTCAGCTACTGGCATTAAAGTTGTGAGCGAGCAATTTGGCTACTGCATAAATTAAGTTTGCTCTGAAGCCATCCTTCCTGAGCTAAAACAAAAATGTGTGAGCCAGAGGCTAAAAAACTGTGAGCTAGCTCACACTAACTCACCTTAGAGGGAACACTGTCGACAGTTTGGTTGTTTGAAGTAAGAAACAGCACTCTTGTTTCAGACTAACCTGCTTTGTCTGTCTTGTAGAGATTTTAGTTTAAATGAATACATATTAATATTATCCATGCACTTCATACATTTTTCATTTGCATTACTACGGTGTTTTAAATACAACCCCAATTGGTGAGCAGGGGGACTGCAGGTGTAGCACTGAACCTGTGTACACAATGCCATGTAACCTGAGCTTTGCCTTTATTTTTTGTTTTCTCACATTTTTGTTGACAATGTATTATTGTCTAGTTTCGAGGGGTTTGGTAATGTGATTAATCTGAGGAAGTCATATGGTTGGTAATCCAATTCCAAAAACTCAGTTTAAGCTGCTGCGCTCCATCACTCTAAGAAACGTCTAACCACCTCTATTTATATGTAGCCAAATCATGCAGCATTTTATTTAAATTTAGGTTTTGCTTTAAACACAACTGCTTTCTGTAACTCTCAACCCATCTTGAATATTAGATGTCCTTAGAAAGTACTGCCACAAGGGTTCAGCATGTGGAGGTTGTTCCAGTGTGTCTTCCATAGTACTGAAGTGCTTTTCTGGACAGCGATATTACCACAGGGAGCTTGGCTTGGACGGAATAACATGCATTCACATAATGTAGAAAGGTCTGTGAAAAGGTGTTGCAAAGAAAGGCAAAATGACTGTTGGCAGCTCTCTTTTTCACATTATTTTAAGGGTATCAAAGCTCTGTAAGATTAATCAGATACCCCATAGTCAAGGGTAATGAGGAGCCAAACAAGAGCTGTTTATGTGTTTCTACCACTTTGAGCTGCGGTGGCTCAAGTGGTTAAGACGCTGAACTGCAGGCTGTGGAAGGTCGGTAGTTCAGCAGTTCGAGACCCGAGTGTGCCGCATGACGGAGTGAGCTCCCGTTTCTAGTTCCACCTCCTGCCACCCTAGCAGTTCGAAAGCAAGAAATTGCAAGTAGATAAATAGGGACCACTTCAGTGGGAAGGTAACAGCGTTCCGTGCGCCTTGGTGTTTAGTCATGCCAGCCACATGACCACGGAAACGTCTTCGGACAGCGCTGGCTCTTCGGCTTTGAAACAGAGATGAGCACCGCAACCCCAGAGTCGGATTCGACTGGCTTTCGAGCAAGGGAACCTTTACATTTACTTACCTTTTCCATATATTTATTTTTGTTAGCAACTGCAAGGAGCAGCTCTTCACCTTTACTCATTCACTGAAATGTACTATGGAATATGTTGGAGAACATGAAATATGCCTTGTGTCAGACCAGATGTACTGTGTGGAAAGGCGAGTATATAACCAAGGAGTCCTCCAAGGCCAGCTGCACAAGAAGGAAAAGACTTCCCAGTCTCTTGGTCAGAAGATAGCACATTCTTGTCGGTAGGATGTTTATGCCTATTAATTTATACATTGCATCTAGATGACTTTCGCAATGCAAACAAACATGCAGTCGTCTTAGTACCACTTTCCCATGAAGCTGTAAGAGCAAATCTACACATTCCTAAAAACAGTATGGAGCCACTTTGCTATGATGTAACTCTTTCAAGATGCAGGTGGTAGATTGTATAATTGTGTCCCCACATTTTTTAAAAAATCACAACCTCCCTGCGTGCAGAAAGTTAGCATGTCAGAAGAAAGGGCTCAATTTTCTTCCTAATGGGTTAGAAAGAGAGGCTGTTTCTTTTATTTTAATGAGAGATGTTGTTCCCCTTGTGAAGATACATATTATGTGGTTGTATCCACATTATTCTTCAGAATGCTTTGTCTGCTTGCTCAAACTATCACTGTAGTCTAAAATTCTTCAGTCTAAGTTGGGGTAGGCAACCCTGATTGCATGTGTTGAGCAGTATACCCCAAATCCTGTCCCTAAGCCCCGCCCCCAAGAGTGACCACCCAGGGTCACCCCTCTCCCTCCCCTCCTGTGAGATTTAATGGTCTTCAGCTGATTGTTGGGAAGCATGTGGACTGCCCATCAGCTGGAGGGCCCTTTAAAAATTTCAGGAGGGAGGGAGAGGGGTTGTCGCTGGCTGCACTCTGCTCACAAAAAGACCCTTTAAAAATTACTCCTTGTCCCCTGCATTGAGCCTTTCTATGTGACTCTGCCTCCTGTGGTAGCCATCTTGTGCTATGCTCCACCTTCTGTGGCAGCCATTTTGTGGTTGTGCCCACCATGCTGTGTCAGAATTCCAGAGCTGCCCACAGGCTCCAGAAGGTTGGAGACTCCTCATATAAACCAAAGAGTTTTCCCCCCTACAATTTTTGAAGAGGAAAATCACTCAGAGAGCTAAATTGAAATTCTGTGTTCAAATATCTTTCAACAATATGGTTTTTGTCAGTTGAGAGGACAATTCCCATTTTCTTTCTACCCCTGTCCTTGGACTAGGGCTGCCAAGTGGGGGCGGGTGGCGGGTAAACCCCCGCTTCGGAGGCCCGATTTCCACCGCCGTGGAATCGGGCCCCGGGGGGAACTCCACCCTGGCGTGCGCGTCACCTCAAAGTGACGCAGGCACGCTGGGCACACTGGGGGCGGGGCCACAGCCATACAAGGGAAATCCCTATGGTTTTCCCTTGTATGGCCGTGGCCCCGCCCCCAGCGTGCCCAGCGTGCCCAGCGTGCCTACGTCACTTCCGGGTGATGCGCACGCGGCGCGCGCACACACATCCAACACGGCCGGGAGCCTCCCGCTCCCGGCGAAGAATCATTTGGCAACCCTACCTTGGACCAATAACTAAAATTGTGGCAAATAACTTTTTTTTTTAAAGCCATAAACACAAGGCAGGTAGTTCTAGAATGTTAGCCAACTCAAATCTCACAAAGCTGTAGGCATTGTATTTTTTTCTGAAATTTGGTCAGATTTACATCCCCCATAAGATTTGTACTCTGTGCTAAAGGTCACAAATTATATAGACTTTATAAAAATTGAATTTGCAACTATTATAGTAGTTGGATGATATTTTTTCTTTCTTGGCTTTGCACTCTGACCATAAACAAGGACCTCAAACTTAGTCCCACTGAGAGGGCAGGTATATTTTCTTTTATAAGAGCATCTGCCTATTTATTTATTTATTTATTTCAAATATTGTTACCCCACGTTTGCACTAAAAATGTGACCTGCATGGCAGATTACAAATTTGATACAAACATTTTGAAAACACCAGTTTGTTTCTGAATAAGTTCAAACCATGGAGTACCAGCATCAAATAGGCTACATATGCAAAAAAATTTGCCTTCTTGCTGATTTCTATCAGTTCATATTGTACTTTTTTGTATTTGTTTCAGCTGTTCTTCCAAGAAAGCCAAATCTGTTCTCACTAGTTTTTTACCAATCTTTAAATGGCTCCCAAAATATCCGGTGAAAGAGTATTTGCTGGGAGACATTGTCTCAGGTATAAGTACTGGGGTGATGCAGCTTCCTCAAGGTTAGTGAAATTTAACTTTTACCTTTTCTTTAAACATTTTCAGAACAACCGTTAGAGACGTTTTTGTGATAAAGGGCTTCCACCTAATTCCTTATGTGAATATGCAGAAAACCATGGCTTTTTTGTAGAAAAAGCCCAGCAGGAACTCATTAGCATAATAGGCCACATCCAACAACAGAAACTCATTAGCATATTAGGCCACACCCCTGACAGCACAACTCATTGGCATATTAGGCCACACCCCCATGTTACCAGAAGTGTGCTCATCCAGACACACCCACCTTTTGCTTCTTATTCTGTTTACCCAGGGCTTTTTTTGTAGCAGGAACTCCTTTGCATGTTAGGCCCCTAATGTAGCCAATCCTAATTAGTTTCTGCTGTTGGGTGTGGCCTATTATGCTCATGGACTGTAGCCTCCCCTCCACATGGGAGTAGGGTTGTAAACCTCCAGATGGGGGCTGGAGATCTCCTGGAATTACAACTGATTGCCATAGTTCACGTATTTAAAAATGTATCCCACTTCTGGAGAAAATGGCAGCTTTAGATGGTGGATTGCAGGGCATTATGCCCTACTGTGGTCCCTAACCCCCACTCTCCCAGGTTCTACCCTCAGATCTCCAGGAATATATGTAATGAATGCAATGTAACAGATCTTAGGAGTGATTCCAACTGATATTAGCTGAGATGGCACATTCCTCTCATGGGAGCTGTACCACCTTAATTTTAAAAACAAACAAAAACACCTTGTTTGATAGTGTCCTCATGTAAAGCTTAAAACTTCAGAGAGAAGACAATTCTTCCTCCCAGTGGTAAACTTAACATTTTATTTATTTATTTATTTATTTATTTATTTATTTATTTTGGGATTTATATCCCGCCCTACCCATATGGCCCAGGGCGGCAAACAAGCGGCAGCGCCGGGAATAAAACATAGGTTACATTAAAACATCAGTAAATACAAAGTAAAATGGTGCTCTACAGTTCATTTTAAAAGTCCAAAACATGGACTGTAGCCTCCCCTCCACATGGGAGTAGGGTTGTAAACCTCCAGATGGGGGCTGGAGATCTCCTGGAATTACAACTGATTGCCATAGTTCACGTATTTAAAAATGTATCCCACTTCTGGAGAAAATGGCAGCTTTAGATGGTGGATTGCAGGGCATTATGCCCTACTGTGGTCCCTAACCCCCACTCTCCCAGGTTCTACCCTCAGATCTCCAGGAATTTCCGAACCCGGGGCTGGCAACCCTAGGGAGCATGACCAAACTAGGAGACTTCCCGTGTGAAAAGAGGCGTGTCATTTTTCCATATGAGAGGAGCCTATCAATAAGTGCATGTTTGGACAAGCTTTGAGACCAGTTTCTGTCAGAGTTAGCTTGGTTAGTAGCCAGAGTAGTAAGCTTGGCTGGAAAGAACCCATGTTCAAATCTATACTTGGACTGAAGCATACTGAGAGGCCTCGGGTAGATTATGGTGCTTTTATGGCATTCTGGGAGAAAGGACAGGCTACCAAACTAAGTATGTTGACTTTGGTAACTACTACAGAGAAAAATATATATCCAGGCTGAGCCCTGGTTCTCCCTGAGGTAGCAAACCTGTGTCTGAGATATACCACTTCCTACTGTTGGAGAGGCTGAAACAATTAAATTTTTCTCCATTAAAAAAACAAACAAACCCTCCACAGAGAGCTGGTATGTAGAAGATGAATTCCAACCTTCTCTTTCTCTGAAATTACCGGTCTCTTTGTGTAAGAGTCTGTTCATTCAGGGAATCAAAAATTCATTCACACAAGTTCCAGCTTGCAGTGTGAAGTATTTCAGACCTGTATTTACTACCTGAGTGAAAACGAGGCTTAAGACTATAACCATTTGTGAACTAGTAGCAGGAAGTATGTTTGTGTTCAGCCATATTTAGTTTCACTGACCACATTATGAAGTGATGCCCTCTTATGTGGGTACAGAGCAATTTGTCTCAGGTGGAAGCAGGGTTGAATGGATTAGTCCTGCCTGTGTGCATTTGCCACAGGGTGCCACAGAGCTTAGAGTTTGTATAGTTTGCTGTGTGGGCATGTTGTGGTAAAGCGTGCATTAGTGACACAGGATCACCATGCTCCTGTGATCCTGCTCCCCCTCTGCAAGCATTGCCCTGTATCCACATGTTGTATTTATGGAGCTATTGTATTCAACCCATTCCAGACTTTCCAGCTGTGGTGGGGAATTTAGCTTTTGTGTTTAATCTCCACCATATATAAGATCTATGAAGAGTCTTCATGCAGAAGACTCCAAGTCCACTTCTCCTTACTATCCAGTAATTGGTCCCAGACACCAGTGCCTTTCTTATTTCATTTCTCATAAGCAAGCAACAATTTGGGTGAGCATGGAACAATTTGTGACAATTGTGTGAATTCAGCTGCAGAATTAAAATGCCACTTCTTGCCATTGAGTCTGCCAATTCTGTGAGAAATTTGGAGGAGCCAGTTGTGAGAAGACTTGCCAGGGCAGACTTACAACAAAATATATTATAGGGACCAGCCAGTTGGAGGCCCCTGGGCCAAATCTGGCCCCTTAAATACCAGTTTTCTCCCTCCCTTCAGTTCCCCGCCTAGAACCAAGAGAAGCAGGTGGCAGATGAGTTTCCAGAATGAGTGGTGATGGGCTGGGACTCCCAATATCTTCTCTGCCCAGTGACCTTCCTTTAATACTGATTGCTGATTAGGAATGTATCAGAAGAACAGCCTGCATATGAACAATTTTTCATATAAATTATTTGTTTCGTAACTAAGCATGTTTCAAGAATGCTTCTTATCTCTCCTTTCTCTAATTCTTTTTTCCTAGGGTTGGCTTATGCATTGCTGGCTGCTTTGCCTCCTGTTTTTGGTCTGTATTCTTCATTTTATCCAGTATTTCTGTATACCTTTTTTGGAACCTCCAGGCATATATCCATAGGTAACACCTTTTAATGTTTAAAATTGTATTTTCTGCCACGTGCTTTAAATAATTAGAGAAGGAAATATGCATTCTGTTAACTCTCTTTCAGGAACCTTTGCTGTCATCAGTTTGATGATTGGCGGAGTTGCTGTTAGAGAAGCACCTGATGAAATGTTCGACATTACTGACACCAACTCAACCAATACCACAACTCTTGAAAACTTCAGAGCAAGAGATGACATGAGGGTGAAGGTTGCTGTTGCAGTAACGTTGCTTTCAGGCATCATACAGGTAATGTGCTTATGCCTTGGTCCAGAAGTGTATTCATATGTTGCTGTAAGAAACCTTCTCTACTTAGGAGGGGCCGTGGCTCAATGGTAGAACATCTGTTTGGCATCCATATGGTCCAAGGTTCAATCCCTGGTATTGCCAGTTAAAAGGATTGAGTAGGGTGATGCTGAAGGATTTCTGCCTGAGACCCTGGAGAGCTGCTGCCAGTCTGAGTAATGACTTTGGTGGACCAGTGGTCTGATTCAGTATTCAGCAGCTGTTGGCCTGATCCAACATTGGCTTTTCTTATGTTCTTATGATAAGGCTCCAGGTCCTGATGGTGTACACCCAAGAGTTCTTAGGGAACTCAAATGTGAGATAGTTGATCTACTAACCTGTATATGTAAGCTATCACTAAATTCAGCCACTGTACCAGAAGACTGGAGAGTAGCAAATGTGACACCAGTTTTAAAAAGGGGTCCAGAGGGGAACCAGGAAATTACAGGCCAGTCAGCCTAATGCCTGTCCTAGGCAAATTGGTAGAAACTGTAATCAAAGATAGAATCAGTGGCTACTAACCATTGGTGACTGAAGGGAACCTCCATGTTCAGAGGCAGTCAACCTTCTGAATCCCAGTGCCAGGAGGCAACATCAGCAGAAGGCCTTGACACCTGTGCCCTGTTTGTTGGCCTTCCATAGTAACTGGTTGGCCACTTTGTGAGACAGGATACTGGACAAGACGGACCACTGGTCTGATCCAGCAGGGCTCTTCTTATGTTCTTATTATGTGAACCATAACAAATGAATGCAGATGCAACAAAATGACCTGATTTGTTTGCTTTGCATAACTTATTCCACTTTTGCCATTTATGGAGAAAAGCAAAAAGCTGTACATGTTTTTATGATTTTTTTTTTTTACTTGTAAGCTACCTTGAGAAGAACTCTGGAGAGGCGGTACATACATTCCCTAAACAAATAAATAATAAATATTTAAGGCGCGATCCCCTTCCCTTCTCCCCCCCCCCCCCAATCCTGCTGTGCCACCTTGATTATAGTTCTCCCACCCCAATCCTGCTGTGCCACCTTGATTATAGTTCTCCCATTACCACTTTCTGCCTTGGGACAGGAATCTCCTCCTCACATGAAGCTGCCTTACACTGAGACAGGCCACTGAACCACCAAAGTCAATATTGTCTACTCTGTCAGTCTGAGGTCAAGGTTTTCTATGTTACATACGACCTAATCATTTCGACTACAGATGCTGGGGATTGAACCTGGGACCTTCTGCATGCAAAGCCAATGCTCTACCTTTGAGCCGTGGCTTGCTTTTGGTTTATGCCTACTTCTCTCATAAACTCACACGCTTACTCTTTC